CTCTCAGGGCTAGGGATTTTGAACATTTCTTCATGTGCTTGTTGGCCATCTGAATGTCTTCCTTGGTGAAGTGTCTGTTCATATCCTGTGCCCATTTTGAAAAGGTTTTTTACACAGTGTTGTTGTTGTTGTTGTGTACCATTGAGTTGGAATCAACCCATAGCTGATTGTCTGGCCAGTTTACTAAGACAGTTACAGGGGAGGAGATTGTTACTCCTTGTCCTGCGGAGCAGTTGGTCATTTCAAATTCTGTGCCTTTGAGGTTGCAGCATAGCTTCTTATCAGTAGGCAGCTGGACCTAGACAAAACCTAGAATATGGAAAGCACACAGATTTACTTTGAAATTCTTTTCCTTTTTGACAAAACTTTGTCTTTGGCTTTCCCCTTTTTTCCTGCCCCATTTACCAACATATCTTCCTGGGAAATGTTAGAATTGAAATGATAGTTGCTTAAGTAAGTATAGGACAAAAGGTTATAATTAAACTTGTATTTCACCCCTCTCATCTTTTGAGTTTTCTCTAAAGGTATCAGAAAAAGACTACAATAGATTATATTAATTCATCCTGTAGAACTGAAATCTCAAGATGTGGGATCTTTTTCAGGAACAGATGAAGCAGCAGCAGTGGCAGCAGCAGCAACAGCAGGGAGTTCTTCCACAAACTGTTTCTTCACAACCATCCAGTGGTGCTGTTCCTCCTCCACCACACAGACCTCTTTACCAGCCCATGCAACCTCACCCACAGCATATAGCATCTATGGCTTTTGATCCAAGATGGCTTATGATGCAATCATATATGGATCCTCGCATGATGTCAGGAAGACCTGCTATGGATATTCCACCTATTCATCCTGGTTAGTTCAAATTGTCATTATCTTGTGGTTGACTTAATATATTTGCAGGATCAATGTTTTGTGGTATTTTCCCTTTTTTTCTTTTCTAAATACTGGTTTGCTTAAAAAGTTCAGTATCGTTGTCATGAATCATGTTTCATAAAATCAATCACCATTGAACCTTGCCCTTCACTACTCTTTCTTTTCGCCTGGATCCTTCCCATATACCTCTCCCCACCCATCCTGTGCAACCCTGTGGTTTTGCCCCTTCCTATTTCCCCCTTCTGCCCTCACTTGATGCCCATACATTTTTTAAAAGTTATCCTTCTATTGTTACAATAATCGTCTTGCACCGTAATTGTCATTTTGAGACTGTGTTAGTTCACTCAACATAGTACTCTCCAGCCTCTCCCAAGTAACATAGTATTTTTCAAATCGTTGCTCCTGTGTGCTGCACAATATCCCATTGTGTGAGTGTACCACAGTTTCTCAGTCCATTCAGATGTGGTTGGACAGTTGAACTCTTTTCATGTTCTTGCAATGGTGAATAATGCTACTGTGAACATTGGTGTACAAATCTGTGCTTGTGACTCAGCTCTATCTAATTTTCCTGGGGTGTATTCCTAGTAGTGGAATTGCTGGGTCATACGGAGTTTCTATGTTCAACTTTTTGAGGAAACACTAAATTATCTTCCAGAGTGCTTGCACCATTTTACAGTCTCACTAGCAGTGTATGAGAGTTCCCACCTCTCCACATCCTCCCCAACATTTATTACTTGCTGCCCTACTCAGCTTTCTCACTTGTCCTGCAGTGAGAGGATCTCATTGTGGTTTTGATTTGCATCTCTCTTACCTCCAGAGATTTTGAGCATTTTTTCATTTGTCTATTTGCCACCTGTATGTCCTCTCTGTGAAAAGTCTTTCCGTATCTGTCATTTGCCCATTTTGTAATTGGGTTATCAGTCTTTTTCCTTTGGAGGCCCAGGAGTATTCTTTAATTTTTGTTATGAGACCCTTGTTGAGATACTGTTGCCAAATGTTTGTTGCTTTCTTTTTACCCTGTTGGAAAAAGGTTTTGATGAGCACAGACATTTAATCTTTAAAAGTCCCATTCATTGATTTTTATCTTCTACAGGTTCTACTTTTCTGTATTTGGCAGTCTCTTTATACCATAGGCTAAGTCTTCAAAGCTTGGTCCCACTTTGTCTCTTACAGACTATTTTTTTGGGCTTTACTCCCAGGTCCCTGAGTTGATTTTTGTGTATGGTATGAGATGTGGATCTTAATTCAGCTTTCTGCAGGTAGCAGTCCAGTTTTTCCAGCACCCTTTGTTGAAGAGGTTGTAATTTCCCCATTTGATAGGTTTTATTTCATTTTTTAAAATCAGTTGACCATAGATAGCAGTGTCTATTTCTGAGTTCTCAGTTCTGTTCCACTGGTCTCTGTGCCTGTCATTGTACCAGTACCATGCTGTTTTGGTTACTACTGTGTAGTAGATTTTGAGGTCAGGGAATGCTATGCCACCCAATTCATTTTTGTTTTTCAGAAGGACTTTGCTTATTCAGGGTCTCTTTCCTCTCCCAGGAAACTTGAAAATTTCCCTTCCGTCTCCTTGATTGAGTGAATTTGGTAGCTGTATTAGGATTGCATTTGAACATGTCAATTGCTCTTGGTAGGGTCATCATTTTCACAATATTGAGTCTTCCTATCCATGAACAGGGCACATGTTTCCATTTATTTAGGTCTTTTATTTGTGTCTTGCAGAAATCTTCTGTAGTTTTCTTTGTTTCGGTCTTTGTGTCTCGAGTTAAGGTCATTCAGGTATCTCAGTTTGTGGTTGGCTTATGTAAATGGTATTGCTTTCTTTGTTTCCTTCTGTGTTTTCTTTGTTATTGTAGAGGAATCCCACTGATTTTTAGAAAATGTTTTTACTCTTTCTCCATTGAGAATGATATTGGCTCTTGGTTTTGCTTCCCCCCCCCCACACTTTGTTGAAAACATTCCCTTCTATTCCACTTTTGCAGAGTGTCTTATCAGGAAGGGGTATTGGATTTTGTCAGATGCCCTTTCTGCATAAATTGGTAGGCTCATATGGTTCTTATTATTTGCTTTGTTAGTGTGGTGAATTACGTTGATTGTTTTTCTTATGTTGAACCATCCTTGCATACTTGGTATGAATCCCACTTTGTCATGCTGAATTGTGGGGGCTTTTTGCTGTGCTTTTGTAGTCTATTGGCTTTTGTTAAGGATTTTCATTTTATGTTCATGAGAGATGTTGGTCTATCGGGGTTTTTTTCTTGGTAATACCTTTGCCTACTTTCAGTATTAGGATTATACTTGTTTCATAGAATGTCTCTGAGAGTGTTCCTTGTTTTCTGTTTATAAATACGTTAAATAGAATTGGTGAAAAATCTTCTATGAATGTTTGGTAGAATTCAGCCATGAAGGCATCTGGTCCAGAACTTTTTTTTGTGGGGGAATTTTTTTATGACCTACTCAGTTTCTTCTTCTTCTTTTTTTTTTTTTTTTAATTTTATTATTTTTGTGTGAGTGTACCGTCAAATCAGATCTGACTGGTACAGGAGGACATTGTTCCTCCTTCCCCCGGCAGAGCATCTGGTGGATTCGAACCATGTGCCTGTGGGATTGTAGTTGCAGCTCCTTCAGTTTCTTCTTTTGTGATGGGTCTGTTCAAGTGTTCTACATCTTGACCGTGTCAAGCTGGGTAGGACATGAATTTGAAGGAATTTGTCCACTTTCTCTAAGTTTTCGAATTTATAGGTTTTCATTTTTAGTATTAATTCTTTTGAGGATATGTCCTAGTAAGAACTTACATAAAATACTTATATTTTAAACAAATACTGTCTTTGAATACAGAGTAGTTAATTGCTGTTTTCTTGTAATGATTGTAAGGAAAATATTATTGAAAATTTTTGAGATCCAACTTCTTCTCTGTCTTAACATCTGTTACTGGCCACATTGTTTTTGCCCTTTTAAGTATTTCTTTGTTTAAATTTGTCCACATATATCTTAGCCTTTTCTAGTGCTCTGTTAGTTATTAGCCTGCCTTTGAAATTACCTTACAGATTTTTTATGGAAATGATCTAGCAGCTTTTTTATGGAATCTATCACAGTAAATTCTGATAACACTGATTAAAGATGATGGAATACTCATTTTAAAGTTCACGCTGAAATTTTAAAATTGTAGTTCACTGCTGTGAAGTCAGTGCCAACGTATAGTTTCTGAAGCTATAAAACTAACATGTTTTTATTTATGTTAATATTTATAGATCAGACCCCTATTTTCCACTAATGATTTGCTAAATCCATTTTACTTAGGGCAGGAGGGACATGTTTGCATGTAGAGAATAGCAGGTAAATTTTAGGTATGTCTTATTTTATTACTTTTCCCATTTTTCCTCTTCTTCTGAAACAGGAATGATTCCTCCTAAGCCATTAATAAGAAGAGACCAGATGGAAGGGTCACCCAGCAGTTCTGAGTCATTTGAGCATATGGCTCGACCCACAAGAGAGCATGCTATTTCCCTCTCTGAGCCTCGAATGATGTGGGGATCAGAGCCTTATCCTCATGCTGAGCCTCAGCAGGCAACCACTCCCAAGATAACAGAAGAATCTGAGGATGTAAGGTAACAGATTATTTTAGTTATTACTAGACTAAATAAAATATATAGTCAAAACCAAGCCTGTTCACATTAAGTGTATTTCAGCAAAGTGCTGCCCACTGTCAGGTTTCTGAGTCTGTAAAATCTTTACAAGAACTGCCCATCTCTTTCCATTGGTGCACCTTGTGGATTCAGGATTTAAAGGGTGGGACAGGTAGAACTGTAGTATTTGTAGTATCCTTGAACTTCATTCTGATTTAGGGCTGAGCCATAAGTCTGTTTTGTGTGCTTTATTTTGTTTAAATTTTACTATAGTTATAATTTCAATGTGAAGAAGGATATTCTGACGTGTTTTCTGGCCAAAAAAAAAATACCATTTTTTCACCAATGGAAAATTGTATGTATTTAATTACAATATCTTTGGAAATTTTGTAAGGCCAAGAAAAGGAGAAAACCAAACAGAAAAATATTTTGAAGTGGCAGCTGTATAGTTGCAACTTCTGTCTGTTAACACCTGCATTTTGTAAAATTTCATAATCATTTCAAACTACTTAAACAAATGGATGTCTTGATATGTACATTCTAGGTAGAAATTATTAGTCTTAATGGGTTAGAAATATTAACTCTAAACTTTCAGAGAGACAGAGTTATTCTTGTGATTAAGATTTAATGCTTCATGTTTTTAAAATAGGGCAGTTGTTTTACTGTACATTTATATGTAGCGATAGTTTTGCTTTGTTGGAATTATATGTAGATATAATGTCTTTGTTCTCTTCGTCATAGGCCTGAAGTCTCATTGGAACAAGACCATATCACTCCTGCTTATCCTGTAGAGCATAGTCAGTTGGAGTCTCATCCAAAAGCAGACTTTCTCAGAGAATCAAGTGAGACTGAAGCACAGAAGTTTCTAAGTAGATCTGTGGAAGATGTTAGACCTCACCATACTGACACGAACAGCCTGTCTGTCTGTTTTGAAGTATCTGATCAGAAGACTGGATCTACTCAAGAAGAGCGAGTTTCAGCTGTAGAAAGTCAGCCTATTCGGAAAAGAAGTGTTTCGCATGGCTCTAACCATACTCAGAAATCAGAGGAGCAAAGAAGTGAACCATTTGCAAGCATTCCTAAAGTAACAAGCAGATGCATTGATTCAAAAGAACCAGCAGAAAGACCAGAGGAAAAACCAAAAAAGGATGGTTTCACACGCTCTTCAGAAGGACCAAAATCTGAGAAGCTGTATAAATCTAAATCTGAAACTCGTTGGGGCCCACGACCAAGCTCCAGCAGACGAGATGAAGGTAATGATAGGCCTGTGAGAAGATCAGGTCCCATTAAAAAGCCTATTCTTAGAGACATGAAAGAAGAGCGGGAGCAAAGAAAGGAGAAAGAAGGAGAAAAGGTTACCGAAAAAGCTATAAAATCAGAAAAGACCGAAAAGAAGGATCCTGTTCCTCCACCCCCTCCACCTCCAGCACCAGTCCAGCCACAGTCCGTTCCACCACCAACCCAAATAGAAGGAGAGAAACCTCCTGCAACAGAAAATACTGCTTTGGCTCAAAAGACAGCTCCAGATACAAAAGCTTTGGAGCCTCTAAATACTGTTCAGGTAGAGACTACAACTAAAACTGTAAACCAGCAAACTGTCCCAGCACCTGCAGTGAAAGATGAGAAACAGCCTGAGAAAGTCATCACTAAAGACCTTGTAGAAAGACCTCGAACAGAGTCAAGACCAGTAGTTAAAAAAGAGCCACCTTTACAAACCCCTCGGACTTACTGGAAAGAAGCTAGAGATAGAGACTGGTTTCCAGATCAAGGATACAGAGGTCGAGGCCGAGGAGAATATTACTCCAGAGGACGAAGCTATAGAGGCTCTTATGGAGGACGTGGCCGGGGTGGTAGAGGGCATACTCGAGACTATCCTCAGTTTAGAGACAATAAGCCGAGAACAGAGCATGTGCCCTCAGGGCCTCTGAGGCAGCGAGAAGAGAGTGAAACAAGAAGTGAGAGCTCTGATTTTGAAGTCGTTCCTAAAAGACGACGACAGCGGGGTTCAGAGACCGACACGGACAGTGAAATTCACGAAAGTGCAAGCGACAAGGATAGTTTAAGCAAAGGTAAACTCTCCAAAAGAGAGGAAAGATCAGAACACAAAAAACCTATAAAACCTCAGTCATCTTTCAAGCCTGAAAATCATGTACGATTAGATAATAGAGCACATGAAAAACCATACATGAGGGATGATGATAAATCTAAGCCAGGTTTCCTTCCTAAAGGAGAACCAACAAGGCGAGGCCGAGGCGGAACATTCAGACGTGGTGGAAGGGATCCTGGAGGGCGCCCATCACGTCCTCCCACCTTACGAAGGCCTGCTTATCGTGACAATCAGTGGAATCCAAGGCAGCCAGAAACTCCTAAACTAGAAGATGGGGAGCTGCCCAGACGACATGAGCCATTTATTCCTATGGCAGCAGATAAACGCCCCCCAAAATTTGAGCGGAAATTTGACCCAACTAGAGAGAGACCCCGAAGGCAACGCCCCACCAGACCGCCACGGCAAGATAAGCCTCCGAGGTTCAGACGGCTGAGAGAAAGAGAGGCTGCTTCTAAAACAAATGAGGCACCAGTGGCCACAAATAGCACAGTTAACAGTGTGGCTCAGGAACCAGTCAACACTGCTGGGGATGTTTCTGGCAATAAGACACCAGACTTATCTAATCAGAACTCATCAGATCAGGCCAATGAGGAATGGGAAACTGCTTCTGAAAGTAGTGATTTCAATGAAAGGCGTGAGAGGGACGAAAAAAAAAATGCTGATTTGAATGTACAGACAGTTGTAAAGCCTGGAGAGAGTGCTTTACCTCCAAAGAGGGAGATAGCAAAGAGAAGTTTTTCCAGTCAGAGACCTGGGGTAGATCGCCAGAATCGGCGGGGCAACAATGGTCCACCCAAATCAGGAAGGAATTTCTCAGGTCCTAGGAATGAAAGAAGGAATGGCCCCCCATCGAAAGGTGGAAAGAGAGGGTGAGTGTTTTTCTTTAGATGTAATTCCTTTTGTGCCTTTTAAAAAACCTAATGGTAGTTTTCTAAATTCAGCTATGAAGAGACCATTCTGGATAGAGGATTAAGACGGATGCTCTGTTCTCAAAGTGTAAGCATGCTAGCAGAGGAAGGTTAATGAAAGTGCCTCAGAAGTCTGCCTACTAAACTCTATTTTCTGCAAGAGACTTCTTGGGAACTTTTCACTTTGGGAGAAATCTCCATACTGTTGGGGGAGTGTGTACAAAGTCCTCTGTTTCATAAGTAATCTTACTGCTCATTGCTCCTTTTTTTAATTGATTTTCCCTCATTGTAAAACTGTGGTGCTACACAGATGTCCTCTGGGACTTAATTTGTTGTTTTTAAACACACATACACACACCCTCCCCCCAAAAAAGCAACTTAGTTCTCTTTACTAGCTTCCTAAAAGTGAATGATGATTCTTAAGGGTAAGTAATAGCTTCCCTCCAGTTTCAGTTTTAAACAATCCAGTTAGAGAGAGGACCAGAAAACAAAGCCATACCCAGCTGCCAAGACGGATCACATAAGCAGCCTAATTGAATATTTAAACAATGTTCCTAAATTATACTATGTCAACTCTTGGTTATAGTATTGTTGTAAACATAAAAATATTTAACCATTGCTATCTTAAGTGTTAAAAAGCATTAGTTAATTGGCAGTTAAAAATTCAAATGTCTACATTGAAAAGTAGACTGTTACTTTTTTACCGGATTAGCTCTTTGCTTCCTCAGCAATAAAATGAAAAGAAAGTATGAATATATTAAGATTACTGAATTTATAACTGTATAGGAGAACATCTTTTAGAGTGTGTTCTATTTTCAGAATAAATTCTCAAATTCTAGCCCAAAGTGATGAAAAGATTCTTAAACAATGTTGTGTTATAATCAGAGTTCCTTAGTTACATGTTTAGCATTTTAGGTTACTAGACTGATAAGACATTTTTGTTTTCCAGGTAATAATTTAAATTTTTCAGGAAAATATTGTAACCATGTCTGCTTACCTACATTTGAGACTTCTTTAAAAGTCCAAGAGAACTAGGATGACAAATGTACTATACAATATAGGTTATTAACTATATCTTGGAATTTCAGATAATAATGCTTAAAGGAAATTTTAATCCGGTATTTGTGCTGTGTAGATAGGAACAACTTGGAACTTCAGATATAGCAATCTGGTTGCACTTTCATGTTTTGTAAAATACCCAGCTTCTTCTTGTTGTTGCTGCTGTTTTAGTTTTTGTTAGGTGCCGTTAAATCTAGTATGACTCATAGCGACAAGATCTGAACCCTATTCTATCTTGTGCCATCCTCACAGTTCTGACCACAAGAGCTCATTGCAACAGTCATCGTGTCAGTCCACCTGATTGAGGGTCTTCCTCTCCTTTGCTGACCCTCCACCCTTCCCAGCTAGAAGAAATTTTAATTTATTCAAATTTTTGAAGGCATGCTCTATGTTAGGCACTTAATCAGCTTTTTATCTTGCATGATACAGGCTAAGATAAATTAATAAATATCAGAAGGATATTATTTTGTTCATATCATAGCAAAGCTTAAAAAAAGTATTTGATTTATGAAGTGAACAAAATCATAAAAAATGTTATGTTTACATTCATGTATGAATGTAATTAAAACTTCACAAATACATGTAGGTATACTTCAGCTTTTACAAGTTCCTTTTCAGGCCTCCAGAGTAAAGCCACAGTAAAGGAACTTGTTTGCCTTTTGTTTGTTTCTTTGTGTGTAAAACAGTAACATTACTTGCCTTTTGTTTGTTTCTTAGTTTGTATAAAGTAACATTACTTTCCTATGGTACACACTTACAGTGCTTGTTGTGAATTCTCCTATCATTGATGTACTTTAGTTTACCTTGACACAATAAGCAAAGTCAGTAAATCTTCAGAGTATAATTAGAAACCTAAAAATTTACTGTTGGGAAGAATTCTAGGGAACTAGTCTAGTCTCCTTGTTTTGAAAGGTTGATTTTAGGAAACAGCTTGTTGTTGTTTATAGAAATGCATATATTGTCACTGGGGGCCCTTGAGTCAACTATGACTCATAACAGCTGTTTAAACAACAGATCTTAATCCAGTCCTGTGCCATATCTGGTATGTTCAAACCCATTGTTAATAGTCATTGTCTATCAGATCTATTAAGAATTTTCCTCTATGACCCTGCACCTTTCCCAACATGATGTCTTATTCTAAGGACTAGTCCCTTCTGTACTCAACAAAAATCAAAATGGTATTATAGTTAGAATCTTCTCATTTAGTACAGATTCTTAGAACTTTGGAAATTAGTAAAAGAAATATTTTTGTTTTATTTAGGTATATGGAGGTATTAATAGCTCAAGTTGTTACTGTTTTGCAGACCGTTTGATGACCAGTCTACAGGCACAACTGGCACGGACCCCGTCAATGGTAGCTCTGTGCATCAACAGGAGGGAGCACCTAATGGTCCAGGACAGAAGAACAGCAAAGAGACAACTGGGAAAAAAAGAGAAGACCCAAAACCAGGCCCAAAAAAACCCAAAGAGAAAGTAGATGCTCTCTCACAGTTTGATCTTAACAATTATGCAAGTATGTCTGTTACTGTTTTCTTTATTCTTTTATTGACTCAACCTTTTCCTTATTTTTCATTCTGTTAGTAGTTCTAGAAATTCCATGCACCAAAAATATTCCAGGTTGTGTGGATACAGTAGTGTTTGTTTCTACACAATATCCCTGCCATCAAAAAGGGAACAACTCAGGAAGGGTGGGGTTTGGGGACCACTGATAAACTGCAGTGAAAGGGCCAGGAGCCACAGTAGATTTCACGGAGCTTCCTTAGCTCCTTGCTGTTCATCTATCAGGCTTCTAGAGATCAGTGCCCTCAGGTTAGGTGCATAGTTTGCTGTTGACCCAACAATCCCTCCAGGGTGTTTTGTCTGATCTATGAGAGTTCCCAGATTTAGGTTTCCAGCCAGGTCAGTCCCTCCATTTAGACTTATATGATGAGCCAGATGTCAGCCTAAGTCTTTCCTAACCTTTCTTTCTAAAATATGCATGATAAATTCTCATGTAATTACAACACAGAGCAAATATCTTAAGAAATATAGCACAAGGCGGTGTACCAGTTATGTATGAACTATTAGACTAGCTATATCATGTTACGGTTATAAAACAGTTCTTGATTTCAGCCCTATTGAAATTACTTTCCATATTTTTCTCAGTATGCTCTTACTCTCAGTCTGGGAATATCTCATAGGGATATTGTGTAATAAATTTAATAGTTCAGAATTTTTTGTTGAAATTTTAACCTGTGTACCTGTAAATTTTGCCTAGTCTGGAAAGAAAGCATTGTTTTATATTAATAAGGCCATAACTGCATAAACCATATAACCAAACCACCGTCTAGTTTTGAGGGAAAAGACATGAGATTGGCTTGCCACTAGCACTGTGCTTTGAGCTCAAGAAAGAGTTACCTAGGAGTCTTTGTGAAAGTCTCTTGTCAGAGACCTCTCTAGAGCACTGAAGAGTAATAATACAATCTGGACTGAGGTTGATAGAAGGATTGATGTCTTTGAGTTATGGTGCTGGAGAAGAGTATTGAACCTACCGTGGACTGCCAGGAGAACAAATAGGCCAGTGCTGAAGAGGGTGAAACCAAGCTGCATCCTAGAAGCAAAAATTTTTAATCTCTGTCTCACATTCTTTGGGCCATGTGGCCAGGAAGAAGAACCAGTCTTTGGAGAAAGGCATCATGCTTGGAAGTGTGGACAGCACAGGAGAGGAAGACCCAGGATGAGATGGATTGACTCAGTGACTGGAGAAATGGGATTAGGTCTTTTGGAGATGATGAGATTGGCTCAGGATAGGGCAGTGTTCAGAGCTATTGTACATAAGGTTGCTATGCGTCAAAAGTGACTCGACAGTATGTAACAACAACAGGAGGCATAGTGGTTAAAAGAGCTTGGTTGCTAACAGAAGGTTGGTGGTTCAAACCTACCAGCCTTGAGTAGGAGAAGGATGGAACAGTCTGTAAAGATTTATAGTTTTGGAAACCCTAAAGGACATTTAGGAATCACAATCTTAATTGAATGCCTTGAATTTTAGTTATCAAGGGAAAGGTAATGATGATTCAGTGGTAGAGTTCTTGTCTTACACATAGAGAACCCTGGTTCAGGTAAATGCACCTTTGTTCAGCTGAATGCTGAGCATGTTTCAGCAGAGCCTCTAGACTTAAGCAGACTAAGAAAAGGAGCCTGGCAATCTACTTAGGAAAGTGAACCCTATCGATCACAATAGTTTGATCCATAGCCAGTTTTCAGGATGAAGCAAGGCTAAGCAGTGATTGGTTTTATTGTCTATCAGTTGCCATGGGTTAGAGAGAGACTGACTTCACAGTACCTAACAAGTCATCACAGAAGGAAAGAAATCTTCATGGTAGAAATAGAGGTGCTTTTTTTTTTTTAGAAATAGAGGCTTTTTGTGATACACTGACTCAACTAAAATCACATCTGCTTCCAGTATAGCATTGATACTTGCTAAAGTTTTTGATAAGGATAATTCCCAGGGTTTCATTGTACTTCTTTAAAAAGGAGAACAATAACTATCTTGTCTTGCCAGATAAGTGGGAAGGCACAGAAAACAAGATTGAAATACTTAATTCCTATCTGTTTATAGGCTCTCTGTGTCTTAAAAAGGAAAGGAATGTTGAATAAGTTTATAACTTTTATAAAATTGATGCTTGAAGATAGAGTGGATGGTAGTTACTGTGTCTTAGTATATTAGAATAGTAATATGTTATATAGTAAATACTTTTTAATTGTTATATATTTACTATATAATAGTGAATAGGACACATTGTTGCTGTCAATACTTTGGGAAAGCCATGAAATCGTAGGGTATCAAAGTGAAATTTGATAAAAAGCAGTAAGAAAATTAGCAAATATCTATGGATAAACATTTTGTTCCCGATTGGTACCTTCAGATCACTTCTTCCTCATCGTGATTTAACGTAGTAGAGAATAAAACTCTTGCTTGGACCTGTGTCATCCTTACAGTTCTTATCATGAGCCAGTTGTTAACATCTACCATGTCAGCCCATCTCTTTTAGGGTCTTCTTTCCCACCACCACCCCTTTCTTTGCTGACTCTCTATTTTACCAAGCTTGATGTCTGTCTCGGTGACTAGTCCTTTCTGTTATATTTCCAAAGTACATGAGACAAAGTGTCTCCATATTTGCATTCTGGCTACACTTCTTCCAAAACAGGTTTATTCTTCTGGCATTCCGTAGCATATTCAGTATTCTTAGCCAACAATAAAAATTCAAATATGCCAGTAACTAGTTTCCCTTGTGCTTTGTCCTGGCTTACACACGCGTTAGGAGACAAGAAAATACTATGCCTTACATCAAGGCACATTTAAGTTTCCAAACTGATACCCTTGTTCTTAGCACTTTTAAAAAGTCCTTGAGTTACTAGTGAATTTCCTTCTTATGCTATAGAAAAGGACAGATAAGTTAAACTTTAAATTATTGTTACCTTGTGTCTCTGGCTTCTTTTTCTTTTTTAAAATGCAATTGGACTAAACATTACTGTATTTAAACTTTCTTTAACTGAAAAATGAGAATCTGATTTTTGAGGGTTTTTTTGATGACTACAGGTGTTGTTATTATTGATGACCATCCTGAAGTAACAGTTGTTGAAGATCCCCAGTCAAATCTGAATGATGATGGTTTTACTGAAGTGGTATCCAAAAAACAACAGAAACGTTTACAGGATGAAGAACGTAGAAAGAAAGAAGAACAAATCATACAGGTTTAAAACTTGTTTCATTTAGTTTTTTATTCATAATGCTGCCCAGTGTGTGCTAGCAAATGACCAAATTGTTTTAATTATTTAGGTACTATGATTTTCTCATCATAGAAATTTAAAATAGCTATAGTTCACCACTTCCCTTAGAGTGGACCATCTTTAATGCAGAGATGTCGTTCTTATTTTGACCTTGGTTATCTTATTTGATTTTAGCATGCATCATGACAGTTACAGAAGCAATTCAGAATTATCTTTGAAATCTAATGACCCAACTACTATGATCCAGTAGATTGCAGTTTCTCTTTTTTTATTAGATTTTAATGAAAGTTTATAAAAGACCTTGGATTTCCATTCATTCATTGTTGCACAGATTGCCGTTTCTTTAACTATAAAAGTTTTTATTCTAAATTTCTTTAAATATGTAAGATAAATCATTCCATTTAAAAGGAACCAAATCACCCATTTTGCTTAATACCAATACAAACCGTAAAATGGGAGAAGTCTAAAACAAAACTCATATTTTTCTCTTTTTTAAAAAAAAAGAAATAATCCCCAAACCAACCAAAGTTACTGAACCAGTCATGGCTAGAGGAAAACCTAAGACTCTTGCCCTAATTCACCCTTTTTGTAAAACTGAAACCACTCTTGAGGTCACCTTTCAGCCAAACGATAGATGAGATTTTACAAAAAAACATGTCCATTTTTGAGTAATATGTCCCTTAAACAGTTAACTGTTTAAGATCAAACTGAAAAGAAAATAATGAGAATGAAAGACTGATTGAATTTGTAACCACTGTCATGGAACAATATTATATTTCTAAATAAGACATTTAGTAAGTAATTTAGTAAATAAGAATTTAGTAAGTATTAAGACTAGATCTTTTTAAAAGTAATTTTTTATTTTATGTGGACAGTACAGTAATAACATATACCCTATATAGCATACACTAGAGCAGCACTCTTGGAATTCATAGTAATATAGCTGGTCTTTATTAAATGAGAACTGCTGCTAGCCTTTGCCAGATGAAGTTGAATGTTCTTACCAAATGAATTTACTACAAACTTTGACCGTATGTGGATTTTAGATTATGGAAAAGGGCTTACACATAAAAAATTTATAATATGTATTTGTTAGAAGACTTGACATTTTCTCTCTGTAGAGTACATATTTTTTAAATATTCCATTAGAAATTACATTTATAAACCATTCCTTTGAACTGAGTTGTTGAATTGGTTCCTATCAATTTTCTTATTTTAAGGTTTGGAACAAAAAGAATGCAAATGAAAAGGGAAGAAGTCAGACATCTAAACTTCCTCCAAGATTTGCTAAAAAACAGAGTACAGGAACGCAGCAAGTACAGTCTCCAGCCTCAGCTCCAGCTGTAGCTTCAGTTACAGTTGCAGCTTCAACCACAGCTCCAGCCTCCACCTCGGCATCTGTTTCAGTCTCAGGCACAACTCCAGTTCTAGTATCAGCCTTACCTCCAGTTCCAGCATCAACTTCAGCTCCGGTTTTAGCGTCATCCTCTGCCTCAGTTCCATCCTCAGCCTCAACTCCAGCCTCTACCTCAGCCATACCCTCTTCCTCAACTCCAGTTCCAACCCCAACCCCACCCTCCATCCCTGTTCCAGCGCCAACACCCATCCTTGCTTCAGTCTCAGCTCCAGCCTCAGTTCCCATCCTTGCCACAGGGCCATCCCCCATTCCCATCCTTGCTTCAGCCCTAGCACCTGCTTCAGCTCCCGCTCCAACCCCAACAGTTTCCATCCCAACTTCCTCAACAGTCTCTGCTCCACCTGTCCCAGCTTCAGCTCCATCTGGCTCCATGCCACTTGCCCCAGCCTCAACTCCTGCTCCAGTGCCAGCTGTCTCAGCTCAGACTCAAGCACAGGCCCACAAAGCAGTCCAGAATTCACTCCAAGCTACCACACAGCCTCCAAAACAGCCACCCCCTTCAATTAGGCTTCCTTCAGCTCAGACACCTAATGGCACAGAGTATGTAAGTACAGGGAAATCCGTCCAAAACTCCCAATCCCACAGTACTCTTACAGCTGAATTGTGGGAGAACAAGGTCGCCCCATCTACTGTGCTGAATGACATCTCAAAGAAATGTAAGTTTGTCACAGAAATGACAGAGAGCAGGGAATATTGAGCTTGGGGGGTTTCTGAGTTTTTTTGAGGGGAAAATTACGCCCAGTTGTATTTATATACTCAGTTTTATCAAGCCATCTTTCTCATTTTTTTCTTAATAAGAAGCTCTGTAATCATTTCTTAGCTTCCATAAATTTTAATGGCTTATGCTCATTTTGTGATAATTTTAAGTATGATGTGTTCCATTGAGTATCATTGAAAGGAAAGATTTAGCAAGTTAGGGAATGTTAGTCTTTAAATGTTAACGATCACATTGTCTATGGATTTCTCTTCAGTAGGTCCCATTAGTCCACCACAGCCACCTTCAGTCAGTGCATGGAATAAGCCTTTAACGTCATTTGGATCAGCTACTTCATCAGAGGTAGGAATAAGACTGGTTTGGTGCAATCAGTGTGGCAGAACTTCCTTAAAACAGTTTTCAAACTTAAGCAAGTAGCAGAATCATTTGGAGGGCTTACTAACCCAACCCAGAATTATGGATTCATAGGTTGGGTCAAGGTCTGAGTATAGTGCTAACATTTTTCCCAAGTAATGCTAATGAGGTTTTGTTTGTTTGTTAAATGCCATTTCTGTTTCCCATTTCTGTTATTTGCCATTTTCTATGCAGTACAATTACTTGGAAGCAGAATTCACAGAAGATGGTAGTAGTTCAATAAAATTTTTCAGATAGACACAGTATAAGACCATTGATTCCTCATTCATTTATTCAACAAAACATTTCCCATTTGTGTTGTACTAGGCACTTTTCGAATAGGTGTGCTTAGGACAGCTGCATGAGGAAAGTGGGTAGGGGAAAACAGACCAAAAGCAGCTTTCTTGGGAACTTAACTCTGTAAGGGGAAACCAGCAATAAATAACATAAATGCAGTGTGTTAGATGGTGATTTGTGCAAAGGAGAAAAGTAAATAAACCAGCAAAATACACAAGTAATTTCTCAAAGTGTGTGGATCATTTGAAAATCAAGTGGCCAGGAAAGCTTGCTGGTGTAATTGAGTTAAAGGAGATCAGAAGGCTTGCTGTCTATTTAAATACATGAGGGAAAGTGATACCAAGTTTAGAGAATGGTGAATACAAAATTTTTGCAGCAAGAACATACCTGGTGTGTTTAATGAACCTGGAACTCCTTAGTAGAATGGAGTAAGAGATGGGAAGAGAATGTGGCATTATATAAATTAGTCAAATTTGAGTTCTTTCTTTCTGGATTGACAATTTTGTAATAATTTTCTTACTAGGTCACAAAGAATGGCCAGGAAAGTGGAGTTGAAATAGGAATTGATACTATTCAATTCGGTGCTCCAGCTTCAAATGGTAATGAAAACGAAGTTGTTCCGGTACTTTCGGATAAACCTACTGACAAAATACCTGAACCTAAAGAACAGCGGCAGAAGCAACCACGGGCAGGGCCTATCAAAGCCCAGAAGGTGAATATCATTCTTATTCCAGATACAATTTCATGAAAGCCCTTAAAGTTTAATTAATATCTTTAATCATCATACATTCTTACCATAAACACTGCATTTAGCTTCCAGATCTGAGTCCAGTAGAAAACAAAGAACATAAACCTGGTCCCATTGGAAAAGAACGTTCATTAAAAAATAGAAAAGTAAAAGATGTCCAGCAGGTGGAGCCAGAAGGACAAGAGAAGTCAGCATCTACTGCAGGCAGAAGTACAGATTCTGTCACGACGAAGGAAACCAAAGCTGTTTCGGAAATGTCTGCTGAAATAGGAACCATGATTTCTGTATCATCGGCAGAATTTGGCACTAATGCAAAGGTAAACAGCATGCAGGAATTACTAGGACAACTGATAAAAAGTATATCTAATAGAATTGACAAAAGCAACAATACACTTTTTTTTTTCTTTCTCTTGGAACATAAAATTTTGTTAAGTACTATGGTTACTTTTTTCTACGGAGAAGATTTTCTTTTTAAAGTTACATAAAGATAAAAAGAATTAGCTAAAAAGTCTTTACGGAATTTTTTTTTTCTCGTATCAGTTTTCTCTTGTTATTCAGGCTGGGCTTAAAGTGATAGAAGTCTTCACAAGATTGGAATATGCTTTGAAAGAATGGAATAGAGTTATAGTATAGCCTTAACATTTAACATGCCCATTAGTGAGATTACAAAGTAATAAAATGAGACAAAAATCAAAAGGTTTGAATTTTTTTTTTTCTTTTTTTACACTACTTTTGATATATAGTCTTCTTAGCTGTAGTATTGGCAGTTTTATTTCAGGGTTGAAGCAAGCTCTATTTCACTGATTGAGCACCAAGAGAACATAGTTGGTAGATTTATAGGAGTCATATTGACTGGAAAAAGTGCATATCTCTTTATATATATATATATATAATTTTATTTTTTGTGCATTGTACCATCAAATCAGATCTGACTGGTACAGGAGGAGATTGTCCC